CCCCAAAACCCCAAAACCCCAAAACCCCAAAACCCCTTTTCAATTAATATTTATTGATTTTGCTTAAACAAAATGAAGCAGGTGTACTTACAGCCAGGCAATAAGCTGGTATATGAGATCGAATTTGAAGGTAAGATTTTGGAATATTTTGTAAAGCTCTTAAATTCTTTTCAAGTTGCCTATTTACACTCCATTTTTAGATCCATACTCAGAAAGAGTGAAAGTAATCAGGATAGATAAAGAAGATGAAGGAGAGTTTTGGAATAAAGTGCCTGCTTCGCAGGTAGACAAGCCATCCAAGGAGCTATGCTTTAGAAATTATATTCCTCCACAAGTATCGATTGATACTCCTGATAATATCTTCTGTAAGACTCAGACTTACTTGTTTGGGTGCCAAATTGATCGAAACAAGCTGCAAAAGAACTCAAAATATTGATACAAGATTTACAATGCAGCTGAGGATCAGGCTAATCCCTTATTTTGCTTAGAGCTATTACCAGATATGCTCCCCAAGGTGCGACTAAACTATGGAGTCTGTGCTTTCAAGATTGATGGAAAGGATAAAATACTTCTAATCGGAGGAAACATCTCTAATTTCAGGAATTATGGTAGCTACAGGAGTCATTTATACTCAGATTGCCTTTTATATCATGTCGATGATGGATACTTTGAAGAGGACGACTTTGATCTGAGCCTTTCTTCTCCAAAAGACTGCACTACTGCTTTAGTTCTTGATGACAAATATGTTTATTCTTTCTTTGGAAGAACACTCAAGATTACAAATGAAGATGACTTTTTAAGAAGTAATTCAAAATATTACGAATACTGCAAGAACATTGAAAGATGGGAAATCAACAGCCAAGGAGGAGACTTTACAAACCTCAAAATTAAATTTGATGAAAAAGTTGAGAAGATTCTCAAACCTCTGGTAATCCCACAAGATAACAACTCTTTCCTTATTGTGGGTGGAGTTCGGGGTAACCAAACACCTTGATCTCAAGTATGAGCTTTAAAAATTGACCAACAAGCTTTTTCAGAAGATGAAATAGATGACGATAATTCTTCGAATGAAAAGGATAGAATTGATGCTGTTATATCTCCGTTAGTAATTCAAGAAATTGGAGCTGCTCAAGCTACTCAAGGCAATGAGGAACCAACTCCAATAAAGCTAAATGTACCTCTGTCCTTTACATCAAACAGCTTAATACAAAAGGATGGGTATGTTTCGGCTATTGGCTTTAATGCATCAGGAAGAGCTTGGTGTTTCAAGGGTGATCTAGAAAAGAACAAGTTTATATCAAAATGTTTGCTGTAAGCTCTAAATTTCAATTGTCGCTGGGACTCCTGGGGTTTTGGGGTTTTGGGGTTTTGGGGTTTTGGGG